TTTTTTTTCAGTTTATATAGTTTGATTTGTTGTTTTTTTAATCATTATGATTTTAGTTTAGTTTGATTGTTGGTTTTGGTCTTTCAGTTTGATTTCTTGGATTTTGTTTGTTTGAACAAGTTTTGTGGGCTTTCATATTTATCAATTTTCTTTCTACCTTTTTTCTTTAGTGATGATTAAAAGGGGTATGAAAACAAACAAGCTGAGCTCGACTCTTTATAAATAGAACTGAACAAAAAGAGACTCGTTTTGTTTAACAACTCTACTTACACGTGAGAAGGTCATGACTAAAATAGGCATGTCGATACGGCTGATGTTTTACTAACTCATAACACACAATGTTTCCACATGTTGTCACACAAAAATTAACTAAGTAGGCTTTTTTTCATATATTTGGCTCCTTAATAACTTCGACAATAGCTTGACTCAGTAAAGTTGCATCAATTTTGGCTTCAATAATAGCTTCCATCTCGAAAAAGAGATGGCACGTAACTCTCGCCCGCACGATCTTTAGATTCCATCTTTCGAGGGCCTCCAAGATTGAAACGAGCATGTTATCGTGTTTCTTGCAAGTCACCTTTATAGTCAAATATTCGGTCCCGAGCTTCTCCACATTCACGTCCTGTTAGAATTAAGCACGCGACCGTGTAATATTAACTAATGTCGATATTTAATGATGTCGATATTTATAGCTCAAGCTCGGCTCGATTCATTTATATGCCTAAATTTACACTGCTCATTTTTTCATTTATAAAACTTTATGTTTTGAATATTTTAATTTTTTCGTCAGTTGAGCACACTGACATAGTTACTCAAATATACAAGTCATTAATTTCCCCAAATGGTTGTATATATACCCATCTTTTAATTATAATTTTGCCAAAATATGAACATTTGATTTTTATTTTTTATTATCAAATGAATATTTGTTCCGTTGCATTTTATTGTAAGAAATTTGAGAATTTATAATATATTTTTTGAGGGGAAAACGAAAAATAAGACAGATTAAGTTGTGAAATGCTGAAAAAAGAAAATCTTCAAATAGATATCAGAAAAACACCAAGTAACACAAAACAGATTAAATTAAATCTTTACGGGCATCAGGGAGACCATCATCTTTACGAATGACAAATGTTTGCTTCTTCTCGTGGTTCAGAATCGCAATCTTTGTAGGCGTGCTTATTATATCTTGTCCACCTGATATATATATCAGTTAGTTTCGAAAGTAGAAATGATGAGAAAGGAAGATAACAGGCCTCGTGGACTTACTTCCGACTCAAAAGTTGATGCATCCGCTTGTTCAGTACACTTCTCCTTGTTCTGCAGATTATCAAGATAATACAATCTCTAATCCTTCAACACGCACTTCACTGTACGAGGAAAAGAATCATTAGGAAACTCAGACAAATCAATAGAGAGAGGTATATATACAATAAAACTTAGTTTAATTAGGTTAGTGATCTTGGAATCTGCTTAAGCAAATGGTCCTCCAATTTAGCACAAAGTCGATAGATATCTGGTGGATTGCAGATTAAAATACTTTTTTTTTTCTCTCTAATTCATAAACACAAATAAATTGACTTAGATAATAGCACTGCATCACAAAACACAACCAAGTCTTTTCAAATACCTGATATCAGAAACAGAGAAATACGTATGATAAGCAAAGTTGAAACTAAAAGGCTTCCCATCAGGGTTCAAGTTTCTGATACGTGAAGTCATCATAAGATCTCCAGATGGTCCCAAAGTTACCCGCAGGCGAAACTCAAAACTGAACAGGAAACCGAAGATGTAAATCAATAGGCACATATCTTCAACAGTAAATGTTTTCCCACAAATTCAAAGTCCTCAAATAGTTTTTTTTTTTTTTTTCCTCTTACCGATGAGGCCAGGTCCTCATATCCTCTTCAGTAGGCTTCAGAATTAAGTCCACGAAATTTTTATTTGCGGAAGTGGACGGAAAAGGAGGTGGAGAAAGGTCAATGGCCCACAACCTTTTTCTAGCAATTCCATAAGACTCGACATTTCCAAGTATTGAACACTGAAAATATAGCACAAAACAGTTCCCTTACGTGAGGATTGAGGAAGGGGGTTGAATAAAACTGGAAAGAACCAAACAAATAAACATACATGTGGGAAACAAAGAGGAATGCCACCACGAATTGCCTCCGGAGATTTGAAAATGGCCTGAAAAAAAAGAAATTAAAGTAAAATGACAGGGCACTACATATGTCGAACATGAGTTGCCAATTTTCAGTGCGAATAAGTCTTAATGAAATAAATAAATGGATTTTGTTTTCTGCTTTCCAAAACAAACAATCGCTTTTACTCCATCAAAAATAGAAAATCTAACTGCGCCTAGCTATTACTCAAATATGCTAATTCGAAATAGCAATTCCTCCGCACTCATAGTTTTTCAAGATAAGATACAACATTAAATCTCAATCGAAACAAATCAGAAACCGACCATCTGAAACTCAAATCTACTTCTAGATATGCAACTTATGAAGAGTAAAATTTTCAGGGAAAAGAATCTGCTCTAGTGCTGAACAATTGAACATCGTAATAACACTAAATCTCACAAAATCCGACTTGGAAGAATATCAACATATATATGAGTTTGGCAGTTAATATGGGATACCTACACACATAAAGTTCCATCTATAGTTCAAGCACACTGTTCTCTCACTAAAATCTAAGTCAAGTTGACAACAAGAATCGATTATCTACCAAATGTTGTAGAGACGCATAACAAACCATTATTTACAGAGCACAGCATTGCATGACTGATGCACATAGCAACAGTACATAACAACAGCACACAATGGCGAAGGTACACGTCAATTCAGTTTGCAAACCTTCATTTCTAAACCAAATCAATATCTGTAATAATTAGCATAATCTTGAAAAGGAAAAAAAAAAATATAATGAATGTCCCAAGGTGCAACCAGAAAAATAATGTAATATAAGGCCACAAAGTTCTAGACAATACCTTTTTGCTCACAAAAAGCAGCTCCTCCCGATTTGCAATCTTCCATGACATCACTTGAGCTCCATACAGATAGATCTATAAAGGAGGGGATGCCAAGGGCTAAGAAATTGAAGATACAACAGAAAAGTATTTATTATAATATCTCTCTCCAAAAGTGCAACTCCTCTTCTCAAATAGGAAGCTCTAAACCTGTGAAATGCTTCCATTTTTCAAGTTAAACACGTCCAACATATCCATTTACACGGAATCAACAAAATCCTATTATTCATTTATTCTACTAACAAAAATGCAGATACGGATTTATCTACCACCATCTTGAAGAGATATCGCTTAAACAGCTATTGTCACGTCTCTTTTTCAAGCTTTCTGCTAGGCAGACTTTTCGTACGTATTTCCACTGTAACTCGTCTCATTCACTTTCCCTGACTCAGAAACTGTAAATAGCAGCGTACTCAAGCTCACTTTGAGGCAACGATGGATGAAAGGAAAATACTCAGATATTCACGATTTCACCCTATGCTAACCAGATTAACAACACATTTAGTTAGTTCAACATTATTTCCATCACTTTCCCTTACTCAGAAACTATAAATTGCACCGCACTCGTATCCAACCTCATGAACAGGTTATATTCATCAATAAGCATTATAAACATACGACATGCTTTTATTAGATCTATAATTCAAAAACAGAATCAAGCTTGTCACCCAATATAACCCCAAAAATGTAAAAGTAAAATGCATTTTCTGCAATATATGTGTGAGATTCATAGAAACAACAAAGTAGAAATTCAAGAAAATGTATATACAACTACAAGAGAATTTGTATCTGCTCTCTGTAACAAATTAAAATAAAATAAAAAACTATCGAACATATCAAACATGTCCTGTGTCTACATCAAAATCAACCCAAATAGCTGAACTAACAAGAAAGGAAAGGAGAGCTCTCATCAAATTGGAGCTAGGAAAAACCATCCATGAAAGAAATCACACAAGTCAATACCAAAATTGCATCTTATAGAAGACATCAGCGAGATTAAACATACAACTCAATTAGTATTCTAAAGAGAAATTGAACAACTCAGCCAATATAACTCAAATCTCACAAAAGTCCCCTTCAAACAGCCAAATCCCACAACTGAAGCTCAGATCAAGTAAACATTCAGAAATTGAAGAGAACACAATAAAAATCCTGCCTTTTTCTGTTGGGATCCAAAGTCACAACAAGATAAAGAGGTAAGACAACAACACCGCAATAGATATTCCTATTTGTGCCACTTAGTAAGAATCTAAACTTCAAACACAAATAAGCTAGCTGGAGAAATGAACAGCCCCAATACCTGAGGACACCCCACGAGCTATGAGAAACCAACCACCGAGAAAAAGCGGCGGCGTCATCACCGTGGGGCTTGGAAATGACTTGAACGACGGCCACCCATGTACCGATTAATGGAGAAGACCTTGAATAGAAATAGACGCGAATGGATAATTGTACCTCAGATTCCAATCTTACCTTGGAGTTGAGTGGATCAGTCGGGGTCATATAGTCGTACCACTGGAGTTTCATCACATTGATCAAGTGCAACATTGATCAAATTTAAGCAAACAACCCACAAGAAGATTTCATAGCAGCAAATAAATGGAAGTTCAGAAAAGTACCTCCCAGCTGCCGATTCTCAAGACAGAAGAAGAGCCCTTTACAGCTTTCTTTTCGGTGTCGGTAGTTTCACTAAGAGCCAAGAGATTCAAGAAAAATCTAAAGCTATCCATATAACAAAATAAGAGAATAAATGAATAAAAAAATGACAAGAACATGAATAGAATCATCTTACCAGAAGGAATGGAACAAAATCAGCAAAACCCCTGTAATCAATCCGACCTATGCTATTCACCCAGAACTGATAAGTCGTATTATTGACATGTTAATTGTCGTGTTTTCCATACTTTTTCGGTGTTTGTTTGAGCTTAATTATTGATTTTAATTGATTTCTATAATTTTTGTAGGATATCTCGAAATTTGGAATTTATGATAATTGGAGGGCGAAAGAGACGAATTTGTGTTAAGGCGTGGGCACGCTAATTTCCTACGAGAGTTGGGAGAAGGAAGGAGTCTCAAGTTGGAAAGAGAATAATAAAACATTTAGGAGTATTTATTTATTTATGGACAATTATTATTTTATTAGGATATTTTGGAGAGAATAAACTCTTTATTTATTTTCTACGTAATTTCTGTTAGGATTAGGATTAGACTGGTTTGATTAAAAACCAGACTGCTAGATTTTATATCGGTCATCTCTTTTTCTTCTTCTCCTACGCTAGACGTTGTCTCTTCTCTTCTTCTCTTTTCTTCTTTTCTTTTATTTTTCATGAATAATTGGGAGACTTCTCCCATGTTTATGGATAATTAATTTATTTTTTCCAGCCAAATGATTATTCTAGATTTGGTTCTTCATGATTTGTGAGATCTAATTGATTTCTATTCCCTATTCTCTTTTATTTATATATCTCTTGTGATTATTACCAATTGTGTTTTGATTGATTGATGCAAATTGGCCATTTGTTTGATTATTAAAACGCATATCGTTATTTAGAACGGTTAAATCCGTAATTGTTTGATTGTTCTAATATTTGTGACAAATAGCATAGTTGACTACTAAGGGTTTTCAATTGTATGCTTAGGGAGATATATGATCTAGTCTAAATGATCCTACATGTGCGTTTGTTGGCTAGAATTAGTGGTCCTTCTAGATCTTATTGCTGTTGATAGATTAAATCCTATGATCGTATCTAGGGTTATCTGTTGATTAGAGAAATAATTAGAGATCGTATCTTGATTATCGAACAAGTAAGGAAGGATAGGTTGTTAGGTCGTACCAATAACCATAACAAGTTTAATCGAAAATAGGAGATTTATCTTTGCATCTATGATCGAATCGTTGAACCATCTCTACGAGTTTTCCCTTTGGTTGGATATCTTCTCTATTTCTAATCACTCATTTTTGTTCTCGTTTTATTTTCATCTCTAGTTAGATTTATTTTGTTTTAGTTTTCTTAGTTAGATAAAAATCATCAAACCCCCATTATTTTTATTTTTCTTTCTTTCAAGAATAATTGCATCAATACTTTGTCTAGCCAATCCCTGTGGATTCGACCCTGCTTACCACTACTACAGTTATTTTAAAAGCATGAATTTATTATTGTTGGATTCGACACTCATCAAGAACACAAGCAAAATCACAACAAGCACATAATATACAACAACATAAAGCACAAAACTGATAAAAACAAAAGTTTACAAGAAGGAAAGAAAAAAGAAAAAAAAAACAATCAAGAGAATGTTTCATATAACAACTGAAGGATTCGAAAATACATTGTTTCAGTTCCATAGCAGATACACTCCATACCAAAATACACTTCCAAAAACACTTCAATTCCATAGATAAACAGGATCAGACCCAAAACGGTTCAAGAAATTCGTAAACTCGAAATAAAATGAAAACTCATGAGACCCTCATGGGGGTTCAAACAGGGTAATCAAGAATCAGCAAAAAAACTAACAAAAAAAACCAATAACAGTCTTCGTTGAGTCCCAAAAAAAACCAATAACAGGCTAAGACCATCTACCTTATCTTTATTTATATATAACGTTTTTATAATATAAATATATATACTATTAAGAAATTGATGGTTTAATTATAATTTTATTATAAATTTTTTTATTGTATATATTAATGGTAAACAAAATAATTTTGATACATATATATATATTGCTAATAAATGAATAATCTTGACATCTACATATATTGTTAATAACAATTGTATGACTCAGATTATCAATTGAGAATCACTATAACTTTGTTGATGGTGTAGGAAATACTTGATTAATCTTCTAACAAAATGTTGTAAGAAATACTTAATAAATCTTCTAAGAAAATAAATTATCTTCATATAATAATGTTGTAGAAGAAAATAAATTATCTTGATATGAATAATGTTGTATTTAATTGTATTTTTTTCATAATTTAAAGAACTAAATATGTGTAAGGTAATATATTTTAATAAATTAAATTTTTGTTATTAAAATTAATTTAAAATAATCATAATAAAATGTAAATATTCATGTAAAATGTAGCGCGGACGATTGGAGATTGGAAAAACATTGACTATTGGTTAGAGTAAATTCTATATCATAGCATGTTGTCGACAACGTACTCCTCACGTATTTTCTCCTTGTTCAAGGAATGGGCCCACAAGATATCCTCTCCGGGCAGGATTATATCTTAGTCTTGAATATTTTCTTAGTCTTGAACCCGAGTCATATGAGTAACACGATTGCAATCGAATATCCATCGTCTCTTCATGCGAGGCACCTTGGAGGAGAAAGTAACGAGCTTACACAAGTTCGAAGTTACCATAGCAAATGCCATCATTGATGTAGATAACCCGAGCATGATGTTAGCATACATAATAAGAGAGATAATGAGGATGCTTTGGTTAAGTTTGGCACGTGAGAGCCCTCCTGCATGGCTGTTGCATGTTGTACTGCATGGTCTTACTTTTTCAGCTTTAACTTCTTGTCTTCTTGCCATGTGTATGGCTGTTATTCTCTCTTAGCATTGTGTGGTTTAGATTATATTGCTTGTAGGGTTGTAATGCTATAAAAGGCTAAACAATGTATGACATTGGTTGGTTAACTCATGTAGAAATATCCCTACGCTCACGGTTGCATTAATGGTTGCGTTTCTTTCTTTCTCTTGCTTCATAGTTGCCATAGCTGGTTTTGTTATTTTCTATCATGGTATCAGAGCAGGTTGATCCTGTCTCTGATCCATTTTTGTTTTTCTCTTTTGTCTGATTAATATTCTCAAACAAAAAAAATGTCAGATTCAAGTTCTTGCTTCTTTGGGATAACCGGCTCGCACAAAACGTCCCATCGGCGTGTCATCGTCCGAAGTCTGTTGTAGCCTCGCTGATCGACCTTCAACTCTGACATCCTCCTATCCGGCCTCACGGCCGCCTGCAGGTCGGCATTTGTGGCCACTTGACCCTCCCACTCTTGGGATCACTTATCGTGGTCGGCACCTTACCAGCTCGGCACCTCGTCCCAAGGTACCGAGTCGTCCACTCGCCTTTCAAAGTTGCCCCTGTCGTATCTGATACTTTGTCGATTCGGTCCAGTGCCAAGTTCTAGTCAGCCTTTCTGCTGGTGAGGCCCGACCTGACGGGTGATTGAGATGGTCAGCTCGGGCATCAACATAGTTGATAAACCAACTTATATGATAAAAGTGTTTATTAGTCGATAAGCTAGTTGGAATAAAAAATTCAACTAGCTTATTTGAAAAGCTACCTAAAGAAGCTTATCAAATAAGCTCGAACTTTTTAAAAAGCTCGTCCTACCAAACGAAGCTTATTTGAATACAGAGAGTTTATAAGCTAACCAAATAAAATATAAACTAGCTTATTTGTCTACCAAACATAGCCGTACATCAATACTTGGAAGTACAAAATCGTGCCGAAAGAAATGGCAACTATTATTACTTGAAACCATATACTTGGTAATTTGTATTAATGGCAACTATTTACAACTCAAATGTAAATGTAGTATTTTTAATTTTTTTGATAATGCATTACACTTGGGTTGTAATTCAAGTTGTCATGCAAGTGGGCTAAATGACACTACTCTACTTAAAAACATACACAAAAGACAACTCATATCTACGCCAAAGCTACAAAGGATGGGTTGGGTCACCACATGATGAGTTGTTCCCAAACTACAAAGGATGTTGAATATTTTTAAATAAAATAGAACACTTCAAATTACCAAATAAAAGAAATCTTAGGCAAATACGGATTATAATACAATAATTTATAAAAAAAATAAAAAATAAAAAAATTATTGTTCTAAAAATCGGCCTAGGCGGCTGCCTAGGCGCTAAGCAGTGTCCGGGCGCCTCCGATTTGCACAAATCGACAGAAAAAATCAGTCAGGCGGCTAGGCGGCGTCTAGGCGGGCCTAGTGGCCCTAGGCGCTCCTAGACGGCCTTGGCGGGCTCAGCGGCCAGACGGTTAGGCGACGCCTAGGTGGGCATAGGCGGACCTAGGCGGGCTCGGCGGCAATTTTTCAGTTTTTTTTTATTTTTTTTAAATATTAATTCCATTATTTTGTTATAATGTTTTCTTTAAAATATATTAATTTGATTATTTGGACTTAGGTGTGTCAGATTATTATAAGTTGAGATAATTTTATTTTGTAGGTAGTTAAAATAAATAAAAAATAAGGTATTTAATATTGATTTCTAGACCCCAACTAAGCGCTGTCTAGGCCCTGCCCAGGCGCTCTAGGCGCAAGGCGCTGGTCGAACGTCTAGCGGGCGTCTAGCGACTTTTAGAACAAAAAAAACCATTCACTATAATGCAATAAAAAAATTACAAAAAAAAAATATATATATAAACCTCATGAATGTGTTTGGTAAATAACTTTTTCAATTAATTTTGTTTATCAAACAACTAACTTTTGAAAAGTTGCTATTTAAAGCGTATTGGATAGCTTTTCAGCAAATGCATACTAGTCTCTTTATTTGCACTATTTTTTCTCTTCAATTAAAAAAAGTTAATAAATAAAAAGAAACAAGAAGTAGTCTAATTATTTATTTACCGAACACGAAAATCATGTAATTGTATAAAAATTCAATTATGTTAATTTGGAATTAGTTATGATTATTTGGAAAATGGGATCTCCTACTTCGCATTGATAAAGGAAAATATACCTTCTTATTATATATAATCAGTTTGTTTACCCGAATTTGAAATATTTGAAGGTATGTTTATACGAATTCATTAATTATTATGTTGTAATTGATTTTGCTTTATCAATCAAATAGGTTTTTAATTTTCTCGTAGAACTTGTGTATAATTTAATTTAATGAGAAATGCTCACCTACCCGGGCACATCTTAATATGTCTACCGCGTATGTTGCATGCACTCATTGGTGATGTATTTTTTTAAACATATTAACATCACCAATGAGTGGATGCTACCTACGCGGTGGCATATTAAGATGTGTCCACTGTGGGTAGGAGAACATTTCTATTAATTTAATTGTTCCTATCTAGTATTTGAAATTAAAATCTTCCTTTTTTTGTTTTTGTTTTTTTTTTTTTTTTTTTTTTTTTTTTTTTTTTTTTTTTTTTTTGTTTTTTTTTCTCCAGTTGATTTGATTGATTGTCTTGTAAGTTTTGCGTAAGAAGAAATAATATTATGGGAGGAAAGAAGATTACTGGTAGTGAGGCCGGATTCGAATATTGTTGGCGGTTTTCGAGGGGTAACTTAGATGAGATTGAGCCCATAATTATGTCCAAACTGAAAGCTCATGAGAAAGATTCTGAATTTGTGTCGAAACTGAAACCTGGTTACAGAATCTTTGTGTTTCAGTTCAGAACTGATTTTATCTTGCGGCCCTTTGCCGGTGGGGCCGTCACAGTTATGGACTCGGAGAGATTTAGTTGTGTCGATTTTGAGTTGGCAGACGCTAAAACTGAATGGGCAATGCTGTGGTGCCAGGCAAGCGAACGGGCTAGAGATTACTGGATGGGCCATGACGAAATCAAGCGGCTTGTGGACGAGGCCTTCGATTTTGCCCGACAGAATGCAGGGGATCATGATCATTGGGTTCCGGTGGTAGTGAGCATGGAGGTATGCACGGCCCAGCAAGAGGGCGAGTCGATTGAGGCTTCCATGGATAGGGCAATCCGGGCCCAATACTTGATGCCCTTGTCGTACCTAGCTAACGTCGTCCCTCTTGCCCACGGAGGAGTACAAACCAAAGAAGTTCGATATACGACACTTATTTAGTAGAAAAATGGGCATGATTAGGGTGGAGGAGAAAAACGACGAGGAGAAGAAGGCGTGTGGTATATCGTATATGCTCGAGAAATACGTGTCATGTGGGTGCTCTTTTATCTACGATCCCTACGTGTGGCCATACTTTTCATGCACGTTGCCTTTGCCTGTGGTTGGAGGGTACCAACCTCTGCCCAACCTGCCAGACTGCCGCATACCATAGATATGAGTTGCTTTGATTTTTGAATTATTATTAGTAGTATTATTGCTTTCAATTCGACTTCAACTCTATAGTTTGTTTGGTTTCTATAGTTCTTGTAGGTACGACTTAGTTAGTTTGATGATTGTTGTTTTTGGTTGGTTTTTTTATTTCATTGTTCTTTTTTACTCATTTGATTACTTTTTGTGTCTTCAAATTTATCATTTTTTATTCAAATTTATACATCAAAAGGTTCGATTTAAACATTACTCGATGTTATTTAAGAATTATACTACCGCCTTTATACAATAATAAACTAACAATTATTTAATAGCATACCCATTTACAGCTTTCAAATGGCACAAAACATGAGAAAACCACACACCCGTTCCACATAATCAGTTAACCTTTTTTCAGAATAAAAAAAAAATAAATAAAAAAAAAGTAACAAATTCCAGTTGGTTGCAATATAAAGAAGGAATGAATGGGACTGAGATAGATATAATTCACCCAGAAATAACCTTGGTATAAAAATATCAAAAAATTGCACCAGAAGATAATCAGCTAATGTGGGTAGCTCATTTTACGGGAGCTCGTAAGGAAGAAAAATATTCGGCGTCTGTTTTTTCAATCCCAAGGTAGCTAAAAAGGAGGCATTTCTATGTATTTTCCAGAACCAGGGACGACGTTAAGTTCATTGTCCTCCCAAACCACTCTTCCTCCAGCTATGGCTACATCGACTTTTTCCTGTATAGACAGAAAGAAAATGAAAAAAGAAAGTGAGATGATTTAATTTTCCAAACCTTACAGGTTCCAGCAATTCAGATAGCAGCACGAAATATAGAATTTGCTTGTTGATGAGTAAGTCCGACTACTTTCTAAAAGATGACCACATAAATAAAGAGGTATATATTATGATGATATTAAAGTTGTATGCATATTCCTTTAATCTCGCCAACTTACATTTCGAAATAATTGGAGTTAGCACGAAGAAAGACGAACAAAATTTACCTTCGCTCTTCTTCCCTCATAAACGTTTGTATCTGTTTGAGAATGGTGGGTAGTTGAACTGATTTCAAAGCTTGCATCAGGGTTTAATATGATGATATCTGCATCTGACCCAGATAGTATTGCTCCTTTTCTTGGGTAGATGTTGAAAATTTTGGCACTGAGTAAATAAATTTGAAAAATAAAAATAAAGGAAACGGATCAGTAAACGTGCTTATAGTCAAGTTGAACGATTTCAAAAGGAGAGCAAAATAAAAGCATACCACTCGGTGCTAGTCAACCTAGAATAAAACCTTCTGATGTCTGATTTGTTGGAAACATACTTCTGTTCAGTCTTTGTTGAATTTAACCCAGTGTGTGTTATATTAAGAACATAGTTTTTCTAGTAAAAAGGCATATGCATCTCATTTTGAATCGCCCAAGTAATAAGCATAAAAAAACAAAGGCATATGCATTTCGAACCGCCCAAATAAAACCATTCTGTACATAAGAAATCCCGGGATAGTGATCTAAATATTAGAGAATAGACAAGTTATTTGCACACGAAAATTAGAGAATCTACGATAAGTAGCCAACAAAAGAGAATGTCGACATCAGCCTCAGTGTTCTTCCATTGGGACAGCAGTCAGTCCACTCCCGCCGCGCGGCGGACTTGAGCAACCAGCCTGGCTTCTTCTTTGACTGCAAATGAGAATTATAAACTCAAATCATTCACTACACATAATAATACACTGTAACCAAATTTAGAGAACTATAAACTCTTTTTTTTTTTTTCCCACAATCAACTGAATTTCATCAAAACTCAAAGATAGAAAGTACATCCGGATAATCAACTGACAACATAAAACGGCCATCTAGACAAGCATGAGCCTAACCGAGGAAGTACAAGATTACAACCCCTCCACAGCCCCTTTGGCTAACCTACTACAAACACTTCTCAAAGAAGGAACAAAACAAAAAGTACAGCAAACCAAAGAAGAAGCTAGAACATATATATCTTCAGCAATAACACCATAATCACAATGAAAATGTTATTTGAGCTTGGATGCCAGATCTTTGTTCTCCACACAGCAGCAGACAGAATTGAACTCAAATCCAAATTTAGAGAACTATAAACTCAACCATGGAATGCAACTGAATACACTGTAATCTTATATGATTTGTATTTGTAAATTGTATTAAAATCTACAAAAAGGTATATGAACTACCATAAGAGTACACATGGCTAGACTGTATACCTGCTTTCGAGGGCACGGTGCTGCATCCATGGATTTTCAATGGATTTTTTTTTTAAATTTATTTTTAACATGAAATAAATTAAAATTTGAGGGTGTATTTGTTTTTTTTGTTGACACCCTCGATAATTTAGTCATTGAAAATTATTTTTTTATAGATATAGAAATATAGAATAGATATTGATATAGGTATGAATTCGGTTGTACTACTAGAAGAGACCCACCCACCTATCTGTGGGCTTGGAAAAGAGCCCAGCCCACCATTCCTCCCAAAAAAACACTCACCCAACCCATTAGGGTTTTAATTTCCTCAAGTATAAATTGACCTAGGGTTTTGCGATGCAACGATTGTCGATTGTTGGCCTCCACTCCACACCATCTGTTTTGTGTTAGACGATGATGGGTCTGCTCTCAGATCTGGAACGGTTTGGTAGGAAAACGTCCGGATCTGGGATGAACCGGTATGAACGAGCTTAGATCTGGTCTGATGACCTTCGAGCCGTTGCT